GATTTGATCCTCACATGCATGTTGTTAACTTGAATGCTAGTTCTTCAATGCTAGTGCTTATATGTTGTGTTATTAACTAACGATAGTGCTTTAAGGCTTGCCAAATCTTTTGGACAAAATGAGCCCAATTGCAAATGAAACAACTTATAAACCAGGCCAATAAAATAACTCATATGCCCCTGAAAAACCCTAACAATGGTTTATAGACCATCTGCATCTCTATCATTGCAAAATACTTTCATATACACAATGTTATCATATTCAACACCATAAATATTCACTGATGTAAAACCATCAAAATATGTTTAATTCACAACACATAATTCACTGAAACCATGCAACGTGAAACAAAGACTCTCCATGTGCTGCTTCAGGCCAAGTTAAAACTGATACTGATTAAGGATCAAAAAGGTTTTATTGATAACATCAGGTAGAGAGCAGAATGTCTTTTCTCCATTGCTTGAGTGTGTGTGTTTAACCTGTGTCCAGTCCAATATGTTTCTGTGTGCAACGATTGATCTGTAGTTGCTCCACAAGTATTTTCATAGAGCAGGGTTATTTTATTGTAAAATGTGAAAAAAATTTTATTGTATTTTTTTTCTCACAATATAACAAAATATCAATGTCAAAACGTTAACACACCTGAAGCTTCCGCAGGAAAATGTATTACCGTGGCAACCTCTAACTGTTGTGATAGCAGTTCATCCAATTAATGTAGAGCGAGATCATCCAACATCACATGATCACAACAACACACTGGAGGCATGGAAGGAACAGTCAGGGGATCACAGAAGTCAGCATCCTCTGAGCACATTGGCATGTTTTCAATTCCGCAGCTGAGATGTTAAGATATTTCAGTCTAGATAAAAGTGTAGTTACACTGTAACTCTGTTACACTCTGTCTCTGCATAAGAAACAGGCTATGAAGAGTAGGGGTGTATATGTTGGGCAGAAAATAGAATAGTATAAAGTCCACACTGCAAAGGTTTGTCTGTGCTTGCCTTCATGTCACCAGGGGCCTCAGAAATTGGCAGTAGATCCTTTTCATTAGTCACAGTAGCCAGCCTGGATGATGTGCCACATTTTCTCAACATTATGGATGCAAGAGCCTCCCTTATTCACAGCAGTCATAAAGATCTGCAGTTCCTCTCCTAGTTCAGTAAATAGTGTAACTCCTACAAAGGCCACAGCTCTGATTTAATTAACCTTAACGGGACATTTGCTGAACATGCACAATGTTTCTCTCTGCTCTGCATTTACACAGCTGCAGAATCTGGCATCCTCTCACTGCATGCTTCTTATTCTAAAGTAATGCTTTCCACAGAAAACATCTGCAGTTTGGGTATTTTGCTTTAGAATATCACAATATGTCAGTTTACTCAAACATTCACCAGCTAGTTGAGTAAAACTGGACGAGTGTTGCTCTGAGTCTGGACACAAACTGTGTTTGTCTAACCTAGTGGCCTGCAGCCGTGAGATTAGTTTATCCTGTCTGCACACACCTGTCACTGAATTCAGCTGCTGGAGAGTAGGGCCAGAGTGATGAACTGTTCACACAAATCTCTCCACGACACATTCTTGGACACATGTTTGACGGACAGCAAACTGTGAAATCTTACTCCTGCAGGTTTGAGGATGCTCCTGTCTCTTCTCAGTACTCCCACAGCCTCCTGCTTTAATGTTTACCATAACCAATGGTCACTTTTTAAAGGCTCATGCTGACTTAAATCCCTCCTACACACCTTTAAAACAACATAACACATTGGGGGAAGTGCCTGTTAATGTTTTTTTATACAAGTGATATTGATAGATGTTTATAGTGCTTACGTATACTTCTGTATATGCCGATGTTGGGCGGCAGTAGCTCAGTCTGTAGGGACTTGAGTTATGAAATGAAGGATTTCACTAATATGGAAGTTGGTTTGGTAGCTGGAAAGGTGCCAGGTCACTTCCTCGAGGACTGCAGAGGTGGCCTTGAGCAAGGCACCGAAAAATGATCATGAAAATATATCAACAGATAATAAAACATGGTACATTGTCTTAGAATGGATACTCTGCCCAGCCTATTTAATTAACCACCTCACCAAGCTTCAACAACAAAATAAAGTGATCACTAAAATTAGATGTTAAAACTTCAATTTGTATATTGGCTGTACTTATGTGCATCCTTTAGGCTGCTTTTCAAACTTGGAGGCTGCTGCCCTCTACAGGTTGATCTATGTTAACAACAACATTTAATACTTAGATGGGAGAAGTTGCAATTATTAGTCAATAAAAATCTATTTTGAAACAAACAACTATATTTTATATTTGTAAGAGTTTTACTATTTGGACAGTTTTGATTTTTTCTCTGGATGTGGCTCTATTCTTTACCATATATTGTACATGTGACGACATTTTACATTTTGACAACCGTGCCAGCAGGCCTCAGCTGTCTTTGTTTTGCAGCTGTTTTGGTGTGATGCAGGGAGTGTGCCCAGGTGGAGGTCATCAACAGGATAAGTGGAACCTTACCTTCTTCAAGACCTCTCAGAATTCTCATTCACTCTCTACTCTCAGGCTCGGAGCTGCTGGTTCTGGCTCGCTGGCTCTGATCTCCTCTGGTTTGGCGAAATCCATCATCCAACCATGACTGTTATCTTCTGTACTGTTTAGCACACACACATACAAATTGAATTGAGTTTGCTTGAGGTTTCTGTCAAAAAATCTAATTTTTGAAATCCCCAGCTTGGAGTTTTTCATCTGTAAACTGATCTATGACCATGGTGAAAGCAAAACTAAGTTCCATGCTTTAGTCACCTATTATTGAAAATCAATAATAACTTCAACTTCAACCTAATTCTCCCAGAGAAGAAAATGTTCTAACAGCCAGATAAGGACTAAACACACATTCACATGGAGAATTATAAAGGTAAATACAAGACTATGTCAATGGACAACAAGGCATCTAGTTTGTGAAACCTTTATAAATGCCATCATCAGTCATTTGTAGTGAATAGGAAAGTAATGATGAGTAGAATCAACATGGGGATGCTTTTGACAAACTAAAGGCGCTCATAATGTGTGAAAACACTGTTCTGTACTTTAATGAGGTTACTGTATCCCAACCTTTAAAAGTTGTTCTCTGATGAAAGATGTGAGATGACTGGTCCGTGAGATGACTGGTCCATCCAATGACTGTAAAGACTCAGCTACAGGGAAACAATGTTATGTATTGACTGCCTGGGCAGGGTCACATTTTCTTTGCTCTAATTAGAAACAGAACTGAATGGAACAGACTTTGAGGGGCAACAAAAGAGTCAAAACTAAATACTTATTCAAGTCAGTGAAAAATGATGTCCTTGGAAGTACAGTATCACGTATCCACAAAGAAAAAAATATATTTTACAGTTGGATTCGGCACCTTAAAACACAAAATGACTCCTTTGAACATCTCCAGTCCTGTGGATTCTTTGACAAGAAAAAACAGGTTGAAGCCATCCATCTCCAGTCATAATATGTTTCAAAGGTAAAATATATATAGCATGGAAGATATCAGATCAACATCTCTGAAACCACAGGGAAAGGTTATGACATCAGCTCGATGTACAAACAAAGGATTAAAAAAATGATCAATAAATAGGTTCTATCATCAATCCATAAATCAATCTGTCTTTTTATAACCTCATGTAATAGAATCCTTATGATGATCAAATGAACGTCATAATTTGACTTTTATATCTGCCCTTCCATTATTGTTGGAGATTCGAAGGCTGAATTGTGTACTTAGTTCTTTTGTCCACTAGATGGAGAAAAGGACTCCTGCCCAACCTCTTTGGTGAGGAGCCTCTGATTGGCTTGCATTCACAGTTCTCTGAAAGGAGGCCACAGAGGCTCAGAATCAACCCTTAACTGGTGTTTTAAGTGATGTATCCATCAATCAAACATAGGAAGAGGCACTGGCATCAGCCACCTCACAACAGTATGGACACACTACTTATTAGTTATTCTATTATTATTTCCAGTCTTTCCTAAATCTCTCATGTTTTGTTAACCAAGGTTTGTAACCATTCACCATTTTGTAAATATTTTTTTAGCTATGGAAACTCACAACTGGAACGCATCAGGAAGTACTCATTCATTACACCGAAGAGTTGTTGCACTGATTCTGCTTAAGGTCAATAAATAGTACACTCTAATGTAGTGTTGTACATTCAGTTCAGTACATAACTATTCATATTTAAGCAATGATTACAAGGATGAAGAAGTTTTGCTTTGCTCCCTTGGCTCACCTCAGTGTCATTTTATGTTCTCTTCTTTGTCACTATGTCCACGTCTGTCATATTTGCCGGTTTGAGTGGCGTCCAATCACTTCATTTTATCCACTCCTAAATTCACCTGCATGCTGTCATTGGCTAATGGAAACACTGGCCTGTAAGCTCTATGTTTAGCAAACATATGCTCAACCTCTCTTGTCTGTATGTATCTCACAGACAGATATGAGTGACATGGATCTTCTTATGTAATTTCCCTCCAAAGAGCAAGAAAGAGTATTTCTCAATATTTTGATCAAATGCTTCATTTCTTTGCCCATTGTTCTCAATAAATAGTTTCAGTTGTAGCTGTGTATTTCTGGAGAACATAGATCCGCAAGCTTCCAGTCAGAGAGCATCTCTCTGAGGGAAATGCAGCATTTCATGTGGTGTATCTAAGAGGCTCAGCTCAGTGTGTGAATGACGCTATCCTGAGGATCACAGAAACACCATTATCAGTACACACTGACATCACTCAGCCCTTCACAGCAGCAGAACAGCAATGGCCTACACTTCTCACACACACATACACCACCGCTGCCTCTAGCAGCACAGTCATTGTGGTCACTGGCCAGCCCATTGTCTGTGAGGGGGCACACTGGACAATGTCTCCAATATCTGTCTAAACCATGATCCAACACTGCTATTGTGAGTGACCAGTCGCTTTTCCATTTAACCAGACAAGGTGCTGCTCAAGAAGAAGAAGACAGAGCGGGGGTCCTGTGGTCTGCCTGGCACTGACGATGTTACAGATTATCAATGTGTGACGCCACAGCAGTCAGTCACTGTGTTGATGATGAGTAGACATGTGGACAGACACAACACCGTGCCAGGATGTCAACATCATCACTTACATTTTGGTCCTTGTTGCTTTTCTGCCTCCAGCATGAAGTCAGGATACATTTTTCATCTAACCTAAGGAGAGTTTTCTTCTAGAAATCTTTTTGAACAAAATAAAATCTACAAGTTTGGAAAATGCCCTCTGAAGCTGCTTTGATGTTTTACTGGAAACTCCAACTCTTCTCTGTTGCAGAATGAAACAAGGCAAAGCAAGCACATGATATTTGAAAAAAAAAAGGATTTTAATTCTTTGATTAAGCTTTTCAGATTGGATGGACAGCAACACATGACACTTTTTTTTAACACCAAGTAAGTATCTGTTTTCTTTACTGTTATTTTAGAAGGACTAATCCTGAGAGAAAAAATCTCCTTGCCAAGATGGTAGCACAAGTACGTTGAAAAGCTAAACTACACCAATCAATGAATTAGCAGCATTTAAGTAGTAACAAAACATATTTAATCAATCTGTTTTTAATTTATATAATGCAGAATCATAAAAAAAAATTGAATATTACACTACAAAGACAAAATCCAAATACTAGCACAACACAAACACAACACAATACAAAACATTAGAAAAACACAACACAAGGACACGTTTGCAGATATTACAGAGTAGAATACATAAATATTACTTCATTAAATGCGAGGGTTTCTGCCTTCTACTTGCTGGATTCAAACATGTTTTCATTGCATGGCTTATTTGATCTTACTTAAATTATATTTTTTATTTTTTCCGCTCTGCCCCACAAAGATAATGTAATGGTTCCCAATCGAATATGATCTTTTCTTAATAGTAACTATAAATTAAAACAAATCTCAACGGGAAATGATATTGATACCATGTTTCAGATTACATTTTACAGAAGGAGCATTTCTATACTACTTATAAACTAATGATAGAGACCACACATTAATCCAGCATGAGGAGGCCCCTGGCAACAATAAAACAGACAAATTGTTAACAGGCAGAAACCTCAAGCAGAAACAGACTCATTTCAACTTGCAGACTTTGGAACTACATATGCCTTTTTCTAGCAGGACAATACACCTAGCTACAGATCTCTCTCACTGGTCAATAGGTTACAGTTATATGATATAATATCACTGTACTTTACACTATGTGTAAACAAGGGCCATTTTTTTATTAACATTGTTATTTAAGTTTTTCTACTTGATTAAAAATTAAGTTACATCATTTTGATGCCTATTTCATTTTCAAAATGTTATCCTGTTTCTCAATGCTTTGATCAAATTCTCCAGCTTAGTGCAGTGCTTTCTGTTTGCTATTTCAGGACATGCCTCTTGAACCTTGGTGGACAGCCATCTGCCACCACTGGAGAGATGAGAGAGATGCAGACAGCATCCAAAATTAAATCAGATAATAGAAACGTATTGTAGGAATATCAATAGAATATGATGATATGAAAAATTCAGTGATAGTTGTTGTGGTTGATAGATAAGGATATACTCTTTTTTAAAACAACTTGAATCCTGTTGATTTTATTCTAATTATCATCCAATTTCTCCACAATCCTTCAAGGTTTCAGTTTGGTTTGGCCGACTTTCTGGTGATTACCACCATGTCTGAGCTGCAGACCTTCTACCAGCCCCACCACGTCATCCGTCACCCCACAAGTCTCTACCTGGACCCCACCCTCATACAGAGGCGTGTGCTTGATGATCAAGTGGAGCTGTGGTGGTTCAGAGATCCTCGCCGCTCTCTGTTATGTTACTGCGCCTCAGTGGCCCTTATTCTGGGACTTGGTCTTGGCGGTGTGGGCCTCCTCTCCACCACCACCAGCCTGTCTGGGGAGTGGCGCCTTGGGGTGGGTACCACACTCTGCCTTTTGGCCCTGGCTGTTCTGCTCAAGCAGCTTCTCAGCTCGGCCATCCAGGATATGAACTGTGTGCGCAGCAGGCGGCGGATTGAGCAGATGAAGAGCGGTGGCAGGGCGGACCCGGCACTCATCTTAGCGGTTGGCATGGCTTTGATGCTCTCTGGGACCGTTCTGATCTTTGTTGCCATGACCGGCAGCAGAGGTCATGATAGGAAGGAGATGTTGGCATCGAGTCTGATGCTGATGGCTGCTGGGGCAGGCATGGCTCTGGCTGTGGTGGGCTTCAGTGTGCTGGTCTACCTGAAAAAAAGAAGGGAGCAGAGGAGGAGGATGATGATAAGGATGAACAGAGCGAGGGGGCTGGGGGGTCGAGCGGTCAGGGTGTTCAGTGTCTCAGGAGGACAGATGAGCCAGACGAGGATAGACACATCCTCTAGCAGGACCAGCCTTATCTGAACAGAAAGAATTAGCAAAATCACAACACATCCAAAAATGTCCAGCAGATTACCAATAAGGAAAACTGAATAACAGAAAGGAGTTAAGGTGCAAATCTGGAGTTATAGTCTTTACTGCTGGGGCATCTTCGAAATCCTTTAGGTTCCACTATTGTGAGATCATCACCTGAAAATAATAGGTGACAAACAACAGGCATGCTGTGCACACCCTTTGCAGGTTCCTACTGTCTGATAACAAATTTGTTCGATATCTGCGTAGCTATGAATGAAAATAAAGACTCAAATCAGTTCAAATGTCTTCTGCTTTATACATCTGTTCATCTTACACAATGATCAAGTTGGACAAAGAAAATGACAGAATGACTAAAGATTAAATTGGTATTAAAAACCATTTATTCATTTCCGTAAGTGGATATCCAATCAAAGTATTTCAGACTTTATATTCATGTGCTTTAAAACACCTTTTGCTATCTTACATTAACACACTAACATTAAACGTGTAACTCTCTGCATGTTCAGATCACTTCTAAGATGAAGTTATGTATTTTCATCCTGGTTTCAAAGTCAACATAAAATCCATCAAACAGGTCAATACTTCACATACTAACTCAAATTATGTACAAACTCCAATCAGGTTGTTTATCAGTAGCGCAGTATGAACAACAACCTCCAACAGTTTGCAGGTGGATAAACTCACCATATATTTATTGTAAAAAATAATGTCACAATTTTTTGATTGGCTAAGAGGGAAAAGGAAAGATATCGGACAGGCAAGCTAAAACCACAAAGTGACGAAACGTCAGGAGATCTTTGCTGTTTAACGTGTTGCTGAGGAGCGCTTAATGCAAAACTCTCTTTTATGAGCAACGTCATCAAGTCATCTTTGGACTTTTTTATACACCTCACCCTTAGTCATGTTAGCCATTTTTCCAATGATGACTGATTCAGGTCAAAACACTGTTGTCTCAGAGTAATAAAAGTGTATGGACTATAAAACAGTGTTCTTCTTTACTGAATTTCCCTGCCTGCAGAGGATTTTGTGTTCTTATTTATACTACCTTTCCGCACTCAAATGGACACGTGGCATTTGTACTGGTCATCACATTATACAATTTAAATTTGCTTATCTATTGAAACAATTTTGAATCAACTGTAGATGAATCAGCGTTCAAATGTTTTATACATCTAAAGTTCTTTTTTAGCAGGTTCCCGGGGATCCCCCCAAAGGCTTTTACGGAAAATCTTCCTCTTTGTGAAATGATTAGAACCAATTGGAACAGGAAAAATTAAGCAGTTCCATTTTCCTTTATTAAATGATTTTCCTTTGACTTTTCCTCTTTGTCTTTAGATATGTATTGTCGAGGCTATTGCATATATGAATTATATAGACCTTGGTAAATACATCTTTACTGAAAGCAATCAGTAACAGGATATTAATCACTCCTTCTAATGGTTTTGCCTACTGTGGAGATCATTGAGGCTAGAAACCTCAGAGGGCTTTATGTCTGTTTCCATTGATACCACCAATATGAAGAAGAAGTGATGTTAGCAGGCCAACAGCACCTTATATGACAAAAACAAAAAGATTGAGAGTGACATGCCTGAAAATGTGTGGATTTATGTTGCACACAGTAGCCATTCTAGAGTATGTTGGGCCCAAGGCAAAAAAAGTAAAAAGTAATCTCCAACCAGCTCTCATTTTCATTTCCCTCTTTCTTTTTCACTTCTTCATTTTCCTTCACTTAACTTTAATTGAAAAACTTTGGTTTTGACAGCAATTATGCATGGTACAACTAGCAGGGAATAGAGAGTAAGCGCTATAAGATTACAGTTGCCATGTTTTGGCCATTTTTTAAATGCTAACATTACAAACTGCTATACTGGTTTTACAAGATTGATGTTGCTGATATTTCATCGTGCTCGTGTGCCAATCAAGGTTCCACTTTTGCTTATACCTACTCTGAAGAGTGAGCTTGAAAAGTCTTTGTCAGTTGATTTCTAAAAAAACCTGTGATTGCTCTTAAGGTGTGAATACAAGAAAAAAAGAAGCTGACTGTTCCATGAAACAGTTCCATTTAAGTGAAAAAGGCCTATTGATATATTTGAAGAGGCCAGAGCTAGAGGTATTTGAAATCATTGCTAAATGCAGATTGTCAATCAAGATCTTCTTTAAAGTCTCATTTAGTATCAGCTATGGAAAAATTGTTTTGCTGGAATCTTCTTTTTTCTGAAATCACCCGATAGTGAACTGAAGATCATCGTCGCTGTCCTCCATGTCTTCCTCCCCCTCCTCTTCCTTTACTTCTCTCTCTGCTCTGTCTTTCTCACTGGTCTGGATGTAGTTATCCTCAATGAACCCGTCATCATCCTCATCCAGTCCTCCGAGAGTCCCTCCAGTCCCGGCCATTCTCCCCATCACGCTGTTGGGAAATGGCGCCTCCTGTCCGTACTGACTGACTCCATCTGCCTCTTGGAGCAGAGAGTGCCTGTAGCTTGCCAGAAAGCGATGGAAGAGGCGCAACTTTACCGTCATCACAATGAGGAGAGAGACAGTAAGGACAGTGCCGAGTCCTGCTGCCAGATAGGACCACTCCAGAGACTTTGGAGGTACTACGTCTTTATCTGACACCCCTGAGAAGAGAGCCGTAAAATGTATGTAGTTATGACGATGGGAAGGTCAACTGATGTAAACAAAATGTTTTGTGTGTAAATCAGATTTTTTTTTACTCACCCAGACGATGAGTACCGTTAGGAGTGGTTAGATTGCTTTCTTCCATGAGAAGATGTCTCTGAGGCTCGTTGTGTCCCCTAACATCAAATACAGTGGCCTGATGTGATTCTCTGATAAAAGGTCCACAAAGTGAAAACACCACAAAGAGGATATAGCGCCACTGTCCCATCTTTGTGTGCTGAGGGAAGATCTAAAAAAAAAAAAAGAAACCAGAAATGGTTACTGAAGATCATGAGGCGATGCTGGGAAGGCATAGCCTTAGCAGCCAGAACAATTAGAACAACCTATGACTCATTCAGTTCATTAATCTCCATATTTAGGGACCAGTAAATCAAACCGACCGGACCCCTGCAACTGACCCAGGAATATAATAGGGTCAATATAATCTGAGAGTTCAGTTGGGCAAATTGGATCCCCCACACGAGCACACATATGTTGACTTGTTTTTTCATTCCATAGGATTTGATTGTTTAATAAATTGTTTAACACATTTGGTTTCATAGATTTGGTTCTATATAAATGTTAAGTAAACTTGCTTAATGAATAACACTACCCACCGCTCTCTGAGAGTACAGTCATACCTTCTTATTGAACTTCATGGTGACCCTGTCATTGCCATTACACTTTACATGTCGGAATAACAAACCTAATATTTTAGCGATAATCCTCCTGTAGAGCACAGCTGGCAAATACATATCTCTCCTGTGGCACTGAAAAAGTCTGATGAAAAAAATCAACTGATCTAAAAAAAAAAAAACTAAAAAAAGACCTCATTAAACTTTATGATTGTGTTGTCCTCTTTCACACTCAAAATGTCACATGCTGTTTGTTAGTTGAGCAATGCTGGTGATGACAGTCCTGAGCTGCTTGTTAATTATCTTCAGCCTAAGAGTACATTTATAATCTTTATTCCAATGCATACATGGTGTATCCATTATGCATGTTTCGACAGTTACATGTAAAGCAGCTCGACCCAGGTATTGAAGGCAAAACAGTTTCAAGTGATGTAGACGGTGACACAGTAGAAACATTACAATCATCAACAAGTTATATGACCTTTTCAGAAACTCTCTCATCTTGATCCCAAAGTGTAGAAGGATAGTATTCCAATTTCAATTCAAACAATCAAAATAATAAAGAAATAAATACATCTAAAGTGACTTACCTTTTAAGAACTTTAAGTGATCAGATATATGTCTCCTTCACCTGACTTCTTCTGCCGTTTTTGTTTCCTCTTCAGCTCCTTCTGGTAAAAATTAAGAGACTTGTTGGGCAAAGGTTGCAGGACATGCCATAGTACAACCCTACTTGCACTGTGCCCTTAAGACAGAGATGTTAATGAGTAACTTTAATGGGCTTGACATCCATGTCTGCAATAAATTCCTTTCTTAGTCACGATTTCAAACAGGAGTAAATGTTTTTGTTGTATCTCTTTAATGGGAGTAAGGCAGACATGTTGAATTCACAATTTAGTTTTTTAAATTAGAGGTCAATACTCAGTCTTTGAAAGTAAATGAGTACAGGGGCAATGTTTTGCTTGACTTGTTACATGTGTTGCATTAGTGCTCTGAGGCCAGACAGTGGCAGTGTAATCACATAAGACTTAACTGAAGGCAAGGCACGGCAAGGCAAGTTTATTTATAAAGCACATTTCAACAACAAGGCAATTCAAAGTGCTTCACACAAGACATCAAAAGCATCATGACAGAGGAAAGAAAAGAAACATTAAAATAGAAATTTTAGAAAGTTTTAGTGATTGAAAAATCACTAAAACAAACAATTAAAAGTTACAGTGCAGAGTTAAAATTTAAAATCTTCTTAACGTTGTTTAATGAAAGGCAGCTGTAAATAGGTGTGTCTTCAACCTGGATATAAGGAGCATAGAAACTGAACGCTGCTTCTCCGTGTTGGGATGGTTCAGTCATTAATGTATTTTGACCACAAACCATTCAGCGCTTTATAAATCAGCAGCAGTATTTTAAAATCTATTCTTTGACAGACTGGGAGCCAGAAACAAAAGCACTCCATGGAGTCCATATTTTGTGCACTCTGGTGGATATCCAGGTTTATTCACTATTAGTTTTGAGGGTTTATAAAGAACAGGCTTCATTTTTTTCTTGTAAAAAAACATTTTTGCCTCGAATAACTTCCCAACTAATTATCAGGGCTCTATGTGGCCTTGGTCCCATGTTTTTTTTTTTTTTTATCAAAGGACATTCAGCCATGAACTCTATGTGGGTGGAAATGAGTTGTCACCCTAAGAGCTTAATGTATCTTACTTGACCTCAGCCGTCTCTCAACAGCTCATTAAACACGCAGCAGGCAGAAAACCTTGCTTCACAAAGGACCAACAGAAATCCTCTTCAAACAGAGAAATGGAGGTTTGAATACTCATAACTTTGAAAATAACACATTTTATCCTTTTACCTTTATTTCAACTTTGCAACTTAGACAGCTTCCAATTTATGTGTGATTTAGAAACACCAAATATATATTTTATCATCCTGACTTGACAAGTGTAATATCTTTTTGTCAGAGCTTTAAGTCTTCGAAAGGTTATAAAAGTCACAGGGAATAAACAGCTGGTGGTGTACAGTCAATTGAGGGGCTGTGGCTGAATATGAACTCATAGGTCAACTTTAAATCACCATTTCATGGTGTGGTTATATCTGTAATGCAATATCAAACAATTTCTTGCAGAGAGAACTTTAAGTGGGATGCCAAATATAAATCCCTAAAACACAGACAATATTGTGTCACCTGTAAATGGGAGAACTTAACTTGCAAGGTATAAGCACAGAGCACAAAGCATCCCCTCCTCAAATCCCCCACCATCACCACCCTAAAAACACCCCTCTTTCCTAACTTCCCCTGAGCTTCTCAAGCTTTAGCTATGCACCCTAGATTTCACTTTTCTATTAGCCTACCTTAATCAAGTGTAAGAACATAAATAAAGTATTGGATGTGTATCTTTCTTAAACTCGGTGTAATAGATTAAAACTCTATTTTCAAGCTCTTCAAATTAAATCTAAACCATGATAAGATAAAGACAGATGGATTTTCTGTAGTCCACCAGTTACTTTCCAGTCATCTGCATGAGAACTTATCTTTGCTTATGTAAAGATAATTGGATTACTTTCAAATGCATTGTGTCCTATTTTATCTTTTCTATCTAATTTAAGAAGACATTTTAATCATATCGTAAACGGGGCGAAGAAGGGCCCACTTGTTCATTGCCTATGGGTCTGCTCACTAACCTACACATTCTGGATAGAGGTTTTAAATATTATTTTTCATGTTACACGTATATAGTTGACATTATGCCCTAAACCATGTGTCCTTGGAATTGACAAATACAGATTAAAAATATATATTTCTTTAGAATAAGTGAAACATACTCTAACCATGTTTTGGGAATCAGTTAATAGACCAAGCAGAAGTAACAGAGCCAGACAGACCCAAAAATGCAGACCAGGTGGAGTTGGGTAAAAGCAGAGTTTAAATAAACAGTCCTGGTGGGTACACGGGTCAGCAGTCAGTGGTGCAGACAAATCCAGAACGTGGCATACAAAAAGGCAAAAACTAGAAGGCAGGCAATGGTCAAAAAATACTTGAAGACTCAGGAGCAGAAAATGTTTGACCGAGGTGACACAAGAACTGGCAACAAGAGCAAGGACACATGGGGATCAATTACACAGACAATCAGGTGGTAATGAGATACAGGTGAGCACAATCAGGGCAGGGGAGCACAAGGCAGGAAAACACAGGGAGCAGGAAATGAAAGACAGAGGCAAGGGTAAGTACAAAGTTAAACAGGAAATGACAAAATTCTCAAATAAATGAACCAAAAGTGAAGATTCCCTGTTCAGGCCACATTTTAAAATAACTGACCAATCTGATCATTGGTAATATTTTTCTTACGTAATCACTTTGGACAGCATTCGGACTATAAGAATGATAAGAAGATTTTCAGTTACAGTTTTAATCGACTTTCATCCCATTTATACAGCAAATCAGTTTGTGTCTCTTTGTTCATCTCTTTTTAAATGTTAATCCCTGAGGGGTGTAGGACTTCATCAAACATCTGTGCCCAAAATCTAGATTGAGCTGCATAGTATATACATTTAACAGTTCGGGAGAGTTCAATCTCTGGAAGATGGAGGATGGCTTTCCTTCAGCATTCTATATAAAACTTAAAGAACTCCTTTAGTCACTCTATATGGATGTACTTGAGCAAGCTAGGAAGGAAAAAAACGTCCCCTATTCCTTCTCTCAAACTATTATTAAAAGTATTTATAAGAAGGGGAACGATCCACTAAACTGTGCATCTTAAAGGCCAATCTCTCTCCTCTGCACAGATTTTTAACTGGTAACTAAAATTATATCGAAGAGGTTAACGACACATTTCCCTCTGCTGGTCATTCAGGATCAATTATTATTATTATCAGTGACAATCACTGTCCTAGTGTGTACTTTTATTGTATTTTACTTTTGTTTCATTCTTTGTTTTCCTGTTTTCATTTAGTAGTTATTCCTCTTTATCTTTCTTCCTCCCTTTGTGTGTTTCCCTCTTTGTTTGCCTTCATCAGTTTCACCTGTGTCTTGTCTGTCACACCTGAGTTGGATTACCCTGCCTATTTAGTCCTTGGCCTTCTTCATTGTAAGACTTTCCCAATGTTCCTTTCCTTTGTTTTGTTTTTGCTTTTGCCTTTTGTTCAAATACATTTTTAATCTACCTTAGTCTACCTTTTATTTTTTAATCTCATAATAGTTTAGCTAGAAGCTGAAAAGTGGTCATATTTTCCCTTTGTGTTGGGAAAATGTGGTTTCAGTGCTGTGCTTATTTTCCCCGTAAGTAGACTGGATCACTAATGGTGTTATTTCTAATCCTTTCCCTCTCTGTAGAGGTAACAGACAGAGATGTCCAGCTATCCTGCTCTTTACAAACTTACCATTGAGCCACTAGGCCATTAAAAGTCATCCTCATGAAAGGCTTTAAGGTTGACCCTGACACACATAAGATATCGCTATTTGCTGATGACATCATCCTGATCCTAATCCTTTACTCAAATCATACAGCTCTCTCTCAGGATATATGGTTAATCTCAATAAAAGTTACATTTGATCCTTCAGTTAATTAAAATAGTGTCGAAGACAAGCTCCTTTTTACGTAGTCTCCGACAGGATTTCAGTACTTGAGTGGATTTGCTAATAGTAATCTTAATAGCCTTTACAAACTCAATCTTGTCAGCCTGTTACAGGAGGAAGGGGAAGATCTAAAAAAAGAAAACAAGTGACAAATTTGCCACTTACTTTATTACGCAGAATTAATGTTATGAAAATGAATATCCTGGGACGCAGGTAGCGTAGTGGTTAGTGCACACGCCTCATGTACTGAGGCTCTAGTCTTCCAAGCGGACGGCCCGAGTTCAAATCCGATCTGTGGCTCCTTTCCCGCATGTCATTCCCCACTCTCTCCCCGATTTCTTATTTCTTTGCAGGTATTTCCGTTTGAAGCAGCCCGACTAGGAATCGAGGAAGCCCTCGAACGGGAGATTTCGTACAAATAATCGTAGTGACGCCACGCACTTGAGGATTATTCTGACAAATAATCGTATGCGACAAGCCTTGAATCAGGACACGCCCCCCGATTATCGGGAGGGGCAAATCGGCCCCAAAATCGGGGATACAATCGTCTAGTGTGTGGCCAGCTTTAGTCTCTCACTGCATTACTGACAAGTGTGGGAAATGTTTTACTCACTATCACTAACGTCGGGTGAAAATCCTCCGAACAGGTGCCTATTGAAAAAAACGGGGATTGGTGCAGGGAAACACGCCTACCTTCAATGACTTCAAGGGGCAGCCTGATACTACCCAAGGACCCACACAAATCATACAGAAGCAACACAATGAAATTCACGTGACCACAATCGTGTGGGTGAAAATCCCCCAACGTTAGTGTTCTAGGGTTAATGCAGAATATATGCTGATTGATGCTAATTGAGGTTCTACAGGATGTGTTGTTCACTATACCAGCAACACATTTCCAATCCAATGTTCAGAAAAAGTGCAGTACACAATGAGAAAGAATATCCACCCACTGCTCATTATGCTCATTGTGGGAACTGTAATGAGCAACATTATGTGTACTTATAAATCTTTCATGTTTTAAAACTCCTCATCGCAGGATGATTGGTATTATTCATGTCATGGAAGTATTAAATCCTCTATCTTGTACCAAAAAACAGGGACATCAAGGGGATTTTGTAACATGTATTGCAATGCATTTTGTTGTAACAGGCATCACAGAGTCTTCTTACTACATACAGCAAGAGCATTTCTGCAAGAAAAGATTAAGACCACAAAGCCAGCACTGAATCTGACCTTTTTGACACAGAATCTCACTGACCCATCTTATCTTTTCCTTTTCCTTACTCACACAGTGGCTTTAAAGCAAAGAGGGAAAGGGACAGAGATGTGGATGTGTTACACAACAAATGTCTGCATGGCATTGAAGTTTCTCATCAAACTGTTTCTATATAAAGACAGTTTTGATAAGGAACCTAATCAAATTTTATTTTCCGACATGCCACACTCATGGACGCAAATGAGGAAGAACTCAACCATACTAAGTCCTAGTTTCTTTTTATTTAATCCTTTTCAGTTTCCATGGTGTTGTTTTCAAAGATTGCAAGACTTTAAACGTCATATATTATCCTCCTTTTCCAAAAGTTTAATTAAGTCTCAGAGCGCCCCAAAAAATGTCTTTGAAGTTTCTTGCCAAAAATCTAATCTGATCCTGTATTTTAGCATGTATGTGAACCCCTCTATTTCAGCCCTGCTCAGAACAGGCTGTTTCTGTGTCTGTAGCTTTAAATGCAAATGAGCTGTGTCTGACCACGCCCCTTGGAAGGGCTTGGGTGGCTTGGGCTTTCTTACATTGTGCGCGATTGTTTACAGTTAGAAGACAGACTCAGAGGACAGAAAAAACACCTAACTGTGGGAGTGTCTTCCACCTGGCGGAGGGGTTACTGCCCTTTGTGATGTCACAAGAAAATCTCCAAACAGCCTGTTTGAGCACAAATGATCTGAAAGGAGGAGCAGTAACAAGACGGAGAGGAAGGACTTTTCTTATAATTGGGGAGGGGGAGTAGCAGAGAGAACTCCCATGGTTTCCCACAAGCCTTAAAGTCATCTTTAGTTTTTTGTTATTGTTATTGTTATCTACATACTGTGCCAAAATCATACACACACAGTATTAAACCATCAGTATACTGAAAGAGTCTACATGTAAGTGCAGCACAACTCAGTCCAGCAGATCACAATCTAAGTGATATTAATCAATAAATCAATCAATAACAAGTGTTATCTTGAGACACTTTACAAAAAGCAGGTAAAAGACCATACTCTTTGTCTGTTAACATTACAAAAGAGCAGGTAAAAAGACCATACTCATTGTTATGTTACAAAAAGCAGGTAAAAGACCTTACTTATTGCTATATTACAAAGACCCGGCATATCCATCATGAGCACTTTAGCAAAGCAGCAAAAGTTACAGTGAAAAAATCCATGACATGGCAGCATTATTGGATTATTGATCAGGTCAAGCCTTTAAAAATGATTTTATTGATGTTCTTTCATCAAAAGTGTGCATAAACCCATATTTACTGTATAATGAGGGAGTGTGTTTAAAGAAAATCACTGGCATGAAATTCAGCGACACCATATGAAAATTATAATAATAATATATTTTATTTGTAATGCACTTTACATTTTTGGGAAAAATCTCAGAGTGCTACAGAGTTAAAAAATAACTAAAAAATGTCATCAATACAAAATAAACAATGGGAATAAAAACAGGAGGGCAAACTATGTGTGCCAACATTTACAAATGAAACTTTGTTTAACAGTATAAGGTAGCTTTTAAACACAATTATGAACAAATTCTTAAATTAACTGTTAATATGTTCATTCTTGCCGCACGTTTTTAACAACAGATCATTGAATAAAAAACGAACGCCTACATACAGCAGTTACAGGGGCCAGATTGAATCCCCTGAAAAAATAAATTACATTTTGCAGGAATGTATAAACACCAAAGCTATCTTGACACTACAGAGCACAGTGTCTTAGTGGGTCCATGGGAATGCAGCTTCGTGATCTGTTATAGACGCCTATTAATAGACCAGTCCCATTGTAAATCAATTAGCTTCCTGATCATAGCAGCTTAGTTTTGTTTATATCTTAAATCTAATTTCAAGCATACACGTTCTTCACTAAACACACAGCATGAGGGGGCCTTGCTTGCTACAATAGAAATGCAATTGTCATTCTCCCCAAATACTTTATATTGAGGCTTAACTTGCAACTTGGGGGCTCCCTAGTGGCTGCTAGTCCACCCATTTATGACTCGGGAAACCTCTTCAGGCTGAAAGTGAATACCACAGTTTCCTGCAATGGCACAGCACCTGTTAAAAAGCATGGGCCATTGGTTTGCCCCTACTACAACTCCACTCAATCAGAGGTTTCTGGGGTTCATTGCACCCAGTTGCTACAGCAGTTTCCCAAATGAAGCTTCACCAACTGGAAATAAGTGAGGCCTGTTTAACTCATAGCCTCTCACTCGATCTCATTGAATAAAAAGAGTTTACATAAATAATGACCAAGGTGTGGTCCTTTCTAGTGAGATTTACCTTCATGGTGCACTTGTGTTTAAAGAAAGACTTGTGAAGAAATTAACTTGTTCTTGACGTTGAATAAAAGAGCAGAATAAATGCCCTTATCACAATACCACTGGTTAGAAAGATTTAAAATACATCTAATTTGCAGAATAGCAATGTGAACTGTCCAACTGGTAAAGTCCTTTGTGCTTTTTCCAAGCAGCAAATGAAACACGTTTAATTCAACACTGTTTAAGCAAACTTGTCCTCGCCTTTGTGCACCTGCAAAATTACACCGAATAACGTAAGCAAGGGTTGAGCAGCCCTTCTGTTTGCCTATACAGTTGACCAATAACCTGATAACTATGATTTTTTTTTTTTTTTTTTAAAGGTAATTTTCATTGCCTTCCATCACTATATAGGATTTTTTTTTATCATTTGTATCTCAGTGACTTAAAATAACCCCAAATTAAATGGTACACTGTGCCCTGTCAGGACTTTTTGCTAAGGTGCTTAGCGATACACTTATCGCCTTAGCTAAGGAGAAAAAACATTGATTAGACAGTAATGATCAACAGAGAATATGTTTGAGAAGCACAAATGCAAGGTAAACAGTTGACTTCATGTGCTCTGGTTACAGTAGTTATGACATGTTTACATTTGGTTTTTAAAGCAGAGCTGATGATGGACCGAACATAGTCAAAGATTTGGTTAGTTTGTCTACTGATGCATAGCATTTGCTGAGTCATAGCACAGAGGTCATACCTTCATGCTTCCTATTGTCTAGCTTCCTGGCTGATGGAATCTGATTGTATTCATTCAGGTGTGCAGCCGCAGGCCACTGTAACATCATATCACTGTTTAATGATTACATTCTTACTAAGGCTTTTGGCTTACACTGCCCTGAACTGCTTCTTTCAGTATGTGCTACTATTTTTGGATAGTCAAGTTAGATATGATTCAAGATTCTTTTAGAGATCCATCAAATCGCAAATCTAGACAAACTTGTTTTTGCATTTTACAGGAACTGAATTAACTTGACTGCTATACTTAAGGCTACAGCACATCTGTGATTTTAAAGCATTGAACAGGTTGAAAGGATGCCATCATGATACATATTTTTAAAAGTTAAATGCATGCTTTGTCAGGCCTGTTTTGTCATGACCACAAGCAAACAACTTTATGTACATCAGGAAAGCTAAACAATGATTGTCATTTGAGACACAGTGTCATGTGAATTTCTGGGCTTTGTTGCATCTTTTCACCTTCCACAAATAATCAAAGGACACACATTCTAGGGTTTGCACATAGGAATTTTCCTTCTTAGCATTGAAACTCTGCGTAACCCTGTCTTCCCAAAAGTTTGCTACCTTTGCGGTCTGAAGACACCTAGTCATTTTCTAAATTATCCGTTTTGTTACGTCGTAGCTTTTTAAGGCAAATAGAAAATAATCAACTCTTTGATTCCAGCCAAAACTGTTTACTATCAAGAAAAAGACATAAAATGCCCAAAAAAACTTGCATTAAAAAGATTTGTTTCTGGACATAATTTTGTCTGAATTTTGTGAATATTAGAAAAAAAAGGCCATTGTATGAGGAAAACCGCTCTGCCTGTAGACACTCAATTTTTATCATTCATACACTCTCAGAACTCAAATCAACACTTGAACAATAACAAATAGAACAGACACTCAATACAGACAATCAAGTAAGGTCATTTAAAGCATTTAAATGAACAATAATGCCGTCAATGTTTTCTGATCAGGACTGTGTTATCACACTGTCAATCCTTACCAAAGGTCAGTTCAGTCCCTGAGTAAAATGTAGAAGACGTGGATAAAAATCCACAGCACCCTGACTTTACAGCCTCGCTGACTCTGCTTTCTTGGCTAATGAGGATCTTTTTCCCGCAATAAGCAATAAGCGTGATGCACATGAAATTGTACACCTGCAATATAAACTGGACTTCAACCCTGGGCCAATGTCCCTTGTTGTTTAAGCGATGCCTTGATGACTCAATTTTTAAGTCTTTGGATTTTTTCAATCCAATTATAAATAGTCTCTTACAAAAAATAAGGAGTATAATTAAATTCCATACATGCTCTCTCAATTAAAGCTGTGATGATGAAACACGTTCTTCTGCAGACATTCTCAAAGGCTTTCCAGAGCTCACTGTGTGCCCTCGCTCAGTTTTGTCAGCACAACACGGTGAGGATTCTCATTCACTATGGCTCCGCTGCTCACCGTGTCACCGTGTCAGCATCAGGGGTCAAAGCAGCACAGCCTGCCTCCTGAGGTTCTGACTCTGCTGCCGTCCCATATTTAGAAATGAAGTCTCCAAGCATCCTACGAGGGGCTCTCCACTTTTACCCTGGCGACATTAGCTGTAAAACACCTCTGGAACAGGAGATCAGGGTCTGGAGGCTGATTATCACAGTCAAGCTTCCGGCTCATGAAGTGTTTTCTGAATCCCTGCGGACCAGAGGCACAGGTCACTCTTACATGAGTAGATGCCTCACTGGGATCTCCTGCTGATAGCACACATACAATTGCACAAAGTGAGTCATTTAAAACATGAGAATACAGCAGATTGTGGAGATTTTCTCTGAAAAGAGGAATCAAGACTCAAAGCTAACACCTTTTATCAAGAGAGTACAAAAAGAGAGCATACACGCCTCTTACCTGGCACTCTGAGGGGCAGGCCGTTGTCAAGACGACTGGGTTTTGTGGCGATGAAGAGGTAGCAGAGGACACATACGGTGATGAGGAATGCGAGGAGGACTACTGCTGCAATGGACAGACCAACCAGAGCACCGATGCTGGGAGAAGAAGAAGGAAGAGTGGAGCAGATAAGACAGCATGATGTGTAGAAGATACATCATTAAGAAAATTGTTCTAAATATAAATATAAATAAAGAAGTAATAAGGTGAGATATTGTAATAAACTTGAAATTTGGTTGACAACTCAATTGTTCTAATACAGTAAAACATGTCTTTTTATCCATGAATGAACTGATTGATATGCAAGGTGTCTTGCTGTAATTGATGCAATGGTTTAACACTCCTCGCTGAGAATGAGTGAGAATAAGGACTCACTCAGCTGAAAATAATTAGCTTTTGGAAATAAAGATTTTCTGTTAGAGTGAGTCACGGGAGAATTGTTTTTTTTTATAAGTGAGTGAGACCCTGCTGTCTTTATGTCCGCAATGTAAAAACAAACGAAGAAGAAGAAAGGTAAAAAAAAAAAGGCTGTAGCCTAATATTTGTTATTTTGGTTTTTAGAAAAAAAAAAGTCGACAAAATCTTTATAATCTTCAAATTATTAGAAAATCTCTTACCTCAGCCACCACATATATCCGTATTCATAGGGGAAAAAACTATTGGGATCATCACAGCAATACTTCACATCATTAAACCCGCAGCAGTAGACCGCAGCAGCAGCGTTTCCCAGTCTGGGGCAGGAGAATCCGTCCACCAACACCTCGTCTGCGCTGTAGTAGCTGCTGCACTCAGCGCTCATTCTGCGGCACAGAATTAAAGGAAAAAATGAGGACCGAAAAAATAAACTATTAATCCAAAAACGAGGAAGTTCAGAGTACATGTGCACTCTGTGAAAGCAGTATTGTGCGTGTCTCTCCAGCAGCTGCGTGTTTCTGAGTGAATCAACTAAGAAATATACGATAAGCTCTCTCTCTCTCTCTCTCTCTCTCTCTCTCTCTCTCCTCATTCTTTATTTTTTCTCTCTCTTTCTCTCTCTCTCCCTCATTTATTCCTCCTCTTCGTATCTTTACCTCCCCCCTCGCAGACAAACAAGTGGACCCACTCTTTTAATCTGCTTAAGTTGTTGGGCACTTTAGGTTGTTTGATGGATTTACTGAGTTACTTTTTTTTAAATATGTGGCACTCAGAACAGAATTGCTCCTGAGTGAACACCATATCATCACTTAGCCTATTGTTTCCGGGTAATATGTCCTGCTAAAAGTGATAGTCCAATCTTTAAACAGTTTACAGGGGCATTTCCTCACTTTTTTGGAGGGGGGCCTTATTGACTTAATAAAATCCGCCGCCAGGGGTCTCTCAATCAAAACAATAACAAAAGCAGAATATGTTTATTGATGATGTATCCAAGTATCATTTACGTTACGTTTTTTATCACAGCTGCACATACAGCAACAGTAGATTTCAGTAGCAGTGCCCGCTTCCTAATGCAGTGGTCTTTTAGGTAACATCCTGCGTTTCCACAGTAACGACAAACATGTCTGTCATGGCTGCCAGCACAAGACGCGCCCGTTAAAACTATACAATTACAGATTTCAGTGTTTCAATGTCTAATAACTAAATATTTGAGGGAATGTAAGTACTCAAAAATATGTAGCCTATAACATATTACAATATTTTGCATCTTTACGCACTCGGCTACGAATAGCAGCGCTGTTAGTTGAAGTACATTTTTCAGCATGGCTGTTTTCCGAACCTATTTTAACTAGGCTAGCTTTGCCATTTTATTGATCAAGTGCAGTAGTGTGGACAAAATATAGCCTACATTTCCACGACACAAAGTTCAAGCATTCAAAATTCTAAGGATCGGTGCATGATGCCGGTCAAAACATGGATGTGAAGCCTATTTGAATATGGCCATGACATCACTGTGTCTATATCCTTCTGTTGATGCCTATGCTAAGACACACTGCACATTCAAATAGACTCTGAATGAAGTTAACTTTAAATCTATATGAGCCTATTATGTTCTTATTTCATTTTGAGCTGTTTTAAGGTCACCTTTCTTCTGCTGGATTACATCTTAATGAAAAATAAATTATAGGTTTAATAGGCCTACAATTCCACCAGATTTGACCTGCAATAGGCCTATAATAATTCTGATTAAATATTAAGTTAACAGACTTCATTACACGCTGACGCGAGCAGCTGTTTTCTCTTACACCACTTACACTCTCTCCTTTGCCGCTGCAGCAGTGTTCCTTTTGTTCCTTCTTAAAACCCTTTCATATTCGCCATATGTCCACATTAAGATAGGCTATATTTCAAGATGGTTAAAGTAGGAGGATCTCTTTTTTGTCACCTGTTGCCATGGTGAATCATAGAATCAGGGTTTCCTTTCATGTTGGCTTTTTATCATCGTGGTGCACACGCTGAACACCGAGTGGACCTAATTTAACAAATTAAAATCTGCTGATCTGGAACCAGAAACTCAGAGTTTCCCATCTGAGAGTAAATCAACTCAGAGCTCAGGGTTAGACTGAGGGTTTGTTCAACCTTCTTTCAGAAACGGGCCCCTGGTCTAGTAAAAAGTGTGTCCTGTTGTATTTTGTTGTTCTTGTCCCCAGTGTTTATTGGCTTGTCTTACTTCCTCCTTTTGTCTATTTTCCCTCCATTTTGATTGCCTCTATTGTCCTCACCCTTGTTAGTCTGACCTGTGTCTGATTACCCAGTGTTTAACTGAAATCACTTCCTATTCACTATAGTGCACTATATAGTGGACACGTCGTTTTGTAGTGTCTTCTCAGGACTATTTCTGATGAACAGATCAAACTCGATCAATATTTCCCGTGCTCTTCAGTCCTTTCATTATGCACCTGTAAGTAAGAACTCATCACATCTTCATCATTCTGTCTAATGAAGTTTAAACCATCAAACTCTCTTGTTCGACAGTGCCAAACAAAGTACTGAATCTCACCAAACTTGCCAAAATACATTTGCCACTCAATTTACTGAGTTATGTTTATGAAGGAGGATAAGTCAAACATATTCCTTTAGTAGTTTGTACTCTAATCTGGATAATGTGACATTGTGACAGTCCTTTTATAGAATGCTGTCTGGAGGAATATTCACAAAATACATCTCATGTTAAACAACATGCCATTAACTACACTAATGAACTTATATTAGGTGACTTGGCTTCTAAACCTGCTCACTAACTCCCAGACAATACAAGAAGGGTGGTCAAAAAGCCTTATTCATTAGACCCACAGGAGCCAGTGTGAATCATTTTCTTTCACTCAATTTCATACTCTAATAGCTCTGATCCATGACTAATGGAATAATTGTCAGGATATTTTTCCTCCATTAGATAGCTTGAGTTGAAAGAAATACTCAGTTTGTGATTAAATGGAAAATGCTCTGGACTACATTCAGACCTCAGTAAAAAAAAATAGAAAAAAGACAGATGGGGCCTCCGATCTTTGTCGAAGTTTGTCTTGATTTTTGTCCTAAAGACAAGACATAGAAGACTGTAATGAAATGTATCTTATAAAACCTTTTAAGGGAACATAATAAATTCCCATTTAACTGACTAAGACTGACAGTGAGTTAAATCCATTCTATTGTACAGACACATTCATGGACATATAGGATGAATACTGGTAAATCCGACATGTTGGAATAGAAAGTAAAAGAAGGGTCAGCCCGCCCAACAGTTTGATAAGTTGAACAAACTTACCTTCTAAAGGCAAGGCAAGTTTATTTATATAGCACATTTTAACAACAAGGCAATTCAAAGTGCTTCACACAAGACATCAAAAGCATCATGACAGATGAAAGAAAAGAAACATTAAAATAGAAAGTTTAAAAATCCCTGAAATTATTAAATCTGAAAACATGTTCAAATAAAAATCATTAAAATGAAATTACTTGAAATAAATAAAGTAAAAATATAAAGAGTATAAGAGTTAAAAGTTACAGTGCAGAGTTAAAGTTTAAAATCGTACTAAAATTGTTTAATGAAAGGCAGCTGTAAACAGATGAGTCTTCAACCTGGATTTAAAAGAGCTAAGAGTTTCAGCAGACTTGTAGTTTTCTGGGAGATTGTTCCAGATATAAGGAGCATAGAAACTGAACTCTGCTTCTCTGTGTTTGGTTCTGACTCTCAGGACAGAGAGCAGACCAGTCCCAGACGACCTGAGCGGTCGGGATGGTTCGTAATTAATCAAAAGGTCACTAATGTATTTTGGCCCTAAACCATTCAGCGCTTTATAAACCAGCAGCAGTATTTAAAAATCTATTCTCTGACAGGCTGGGAGCCAGTGTAAAGACCTCAGAACTGGACTGATGTGATCCATTTTCTTGGTCTTGGTGAGGACTCTAGCAGCAGTGTTCTGGATCAGCTGCAGTTGTCTGACTGATGTTTTAGGCAGACCTGTAAAGACACTGTTACAGTAATCAAGACGACTGAAGATAAAAGCATGGACAAGTTTTCCCAGGTCCTGCTGGTCCTCTAATTCTTGATATATTCTTCAGGTGATAGTAGACTGACTTTGTAATTGTCTTAATGTGGCTTTCAAAATGTAGGTCTGAGTCCATCACTACACCCAGGTTTCTTGCCTGGTCTGTGGTTTTCAATTTAACTGACTGAAGCTGATTACTGATTCTTAGTCGCTCCTCCTTTGCTCCAAAAACAACAACCTCAGTTTTGTCTTTGTTTAACTGGAGGAAATTTTTGCACATCCTCTCATTGATTTGCTCTATGCATTTACCCAGTGGTTTTAGGGGACCATGGTTGCCTGGCGACATTGTAATATATATTTGTGTGTCGTCTGCATAGTTATGATAACTTATTTTATTGTTTTTTATAATCTGAGCTAGTGGGAGCATGTACAGTAGATGTTAAACAGAAGAGGCCCCAGGATGGAACCTTGGGGAACTCCACAAGTAATTTTTGTTTGCTCAGATTTGAAGTTACCTATAGACACGAAGAAGTCCATGTCTTTTAAGTAAGATTCAAACCACTTTAGTGCTGTGCCAGAAAGTCCCACCAAGTTTTCCAGTCGGTCGAGTAATATATTGTGGTCAACTGTGTCGAACGCAGCACTGAGATCAAGTAAAACTAAGACTGATGTTCTGCCACTGTCTGTGTTCAAACGGATGTCATCAAACACTTTAACCAGACCTGTCTCAGTGCTGTGGTTTTGTCTAAAACCTGACTGGAAGACATCGAAACAGTCGCTCAATGTCAAGAAGTTATTTAACTGTTGAAAAACAGTTTTTAGATTATTTTACATAAAAAAGGAAGATTTGATATAGGCCTGTAATTTTTCATTATTGACTTGTCTAGATTGTTCTTTTTTAATAGTGGCTTGATGACTGCTGTTTTCAGGGCCTTTGGGAAGACACCTGAGAGAAGAGGCATGTTTATAATTTGTAATAGATCTGGAGCCATGACTTGGGAAACTTTTTTGAAAAAAACCTGTTTGCAGAATATTAAGACAGTAGGAGGACAAATGTAATTGTTGTATAATGTCCTCCAGAATTTTAAGGTTGATTTGATTAAATTGTGTCAAGGTGCTTAAGTTGGATTTAAATGGACACAGCACATATCTTGATCCTGACAATGAGTTACTAACAGATTGTCTAATTTTCTGGATTTTTTCAGTGAAGAAGGTGGAAAATTCATTGCAGGCCTTAGTGGAATGAAATTCAGATGCTACTGACACAGGTGGGTTTGTTAGCCTGTGGACAATAGCAAACAGGGCATGAGCATTATTATTGTTCTAAAGATTCTAAAGATAAATATACTTACTATGTGTCACTCATCTCAGAACAAACCATAGGCTTTCCAAGAAAACTTTGCCAGAGACTGAAAAGCCTTCATTATTTTTTATTTGGAACAGCGGATGCCAGCGGCTAAGAATGTCTT